TAAACACTAATCTCATGTTTTTCTATGCATTTCATGGTTATTTCGTGACATAACGCTGTGGTACAGAACTGTACTCTTTTGGAGAACGCAATTTGACCTGCATTTTCAAAGTTCTCAGAGCCGCAGTGTAAAATAAACTTTGGCCTTTGACTGACCACATCTAATAGTTGTGTCATATGATTGACAGACGGCTCTATCTGGGACTGTTTGGAAGCTCGCGGTTGTCACTACAGATACATCATGCTTCAGTCAACTGTTGTCAGAAGTCATTCTCACCTTTGAAGGCTAACCATGCAGCCTGGAAAGACAAAAGCTGACTTTTTAAAAGTGAATGATCATTTGAATGCAGAATTGAGCGATATATGTTTGCCCAATTCAGCATGGTACACACATCATCATAGTGTTTTATTTATTTATTTTTTTCATATACCGACTATATTTTGTAGCGACTGAAAGCATTACATTTTCATTAGCAGTTGGTCACACAAATTAGAGAGAAATTTAAAAAATGCTAAATTCTTTGTCAATAAAATGTCATCTTTTTTGGCAATGGATTCATTCATTATGATAATTTGTAGGCCAACTCAAGTCTAATTCGCTCTGGGTTCTCTAATTTCAGGTTATTAGAATGAAAGAATAAAAGTCTGTGGTTAACATTAATACAGGAAACTTTCACCTTTTGTTCATCAACATTAATTTTAGATTTTGTGAAGTAAATACTACGGAAAAAAACGATGTAATTTACATGAAAAAAGTTAGTTCATGCAAGAATTAAAAAAAAAATGATGTAAATAGTACTCAATTCAATCGTGTAGAAATGAAAGCACATTATAAGATTAAGTAAAATTACTCAACTTTTCTGATACTGGTGTTCCCTTTATGCACTGGGCCATGAATAATTAATGAGGTCTATTTTTCACCGTTTTCCATGTGTATTTACACTATTTTATCATTGCTGTTGTTGCTAGGATTAGTAATCTGCCATTTTGTGACATTTGGAGTTCATTTTCCACTTAAAATGACACATTCAAACACAAAAAACGCTCCATCAAATGTTACGTCATTGTCTACCAAGTATTGAGGTCTGCGTTCACACATTTAATCTCGGAAAGATACAGTGACACACACTACAGTAGTGTAAATATAAGTGTTTGCCCCCATGCTAAAGTTGCCTAAAAAGAGGAATAAAAAAATCATCTTTTGGATATTGATCTTAATGCCTTAATTAGAAAAATGAGGAAAACTCCAACCTTTAAGGACACAAATTTTCTTTGTGAATGAATAATGTATCATAAATAAATAAATGTTTTTCCTTAAAATACAGGGTGCATAAGTCATTGCCCCCCTATGTTAAATTCCCATAGAGTCAGGCAGATTTTTATTTTTAAAAGCCAGTTATTTCATGGATCCAGGATAATATGCATCCTGATAAAGTTCCCTTGGCCTTTAGAATTAAAATAGACCCACATCATCACACACCATTCACCACACCTAGAGATTGGCATGGGGTACTTTCCATAAGATCATCTTTCAATGCAAATCAAACCAGCTATTAGACTAACTGAAGTAAAACCATGCCAATCTCTAGGTGTGGTGGAAGGTGTGTGATGATGTGGGTCTATTTTAATTCCAAAGGATTTTTTATTCCTCTTTTTAGGCAACTTTAGCATGGGGGCAAACACTTATTCACACCACTGTATATGTATTGATTACTTAAACATTTCTGAGTAAACCATATACTTTAAAAGTGTGGTTTAATTTAATGTTATATAATTTGAGTGAAATGTTGAACAAAGATGTTATTCAATTAAATATATATTACTTTACCTTTAATTAGCTAAATAAAAGTGACTTAATTTCTTATATTATTTTCACTTAACTTAGTATAGATTACTTAATTTTTTTAAGGCAAGTTATTAAGGCAAGCGTAAATGTCACACATAGAATTAAGTAAATTTTACTCATTGTTTTTTAGTGTACTAGTACTTCAAATGTGAATTTTTTTGCTGACGTTTTGTTTTTGTTTCTTTACGAAAGTTGCAACAAGGACTGTCAGAAATAACAGAAAGATTTTATTTTCAAAATGAATGCACATGAACGCCACCAAAAAGTCATAAATACGAGTGGGAAGCTCAGGATTTTCTTTAAGCCCCGATGCTTATGAGTTGAGGGGTGTCAGTGAGAAATATAGGTGTTTGTCAGGCTTTTTTCTTTTTACAACAGCATAAGCTAATTGCAACACAAAATATAGTAGCATTGTAGTATACCAATACAATATAAATCAAGCTTCGTTCTTTATTTTCTAAGTAGAGTTAAAAACCTAGCTGTATTTTTGTGTAGTTAATTAAGAGAAGGTAAACCGCCATCTTGCTCTTACAAAAGTGACTTTGTAAACATGACTGAAATACAAACTTCTCAGGAGGACTTGAAAGCACTAACAATACGACTTATTAGGCAACATGACATCATGACTTTTGTGTACAAATACACTCTTAGAAGAAAAGGTTCTATATAGAACCTTAAAAGGTTCTATCAGTGCTACGTATTTGGAACCCCTAAAGGTTCTATACACTCTTAAAAAAAGGGTTCCTCTGGGTTTTATATTCCGTACTTGGCCAATAGAACCTTTTACCAAAAAAAAAAAAGGTTCTATATAGAACCATTTTGGAGTTCCATATATGAAGCGGGGGATGGAACCATTTCTGGTTCTAAATAGAACCATTTCTTCTAAGAGTGTACACGCCACTTTCAATTCAAGTGGCGTGTTATATACGCATTTTGAGCTATCCGCGTGTATGCGTCGGCCATTAAAATGTCCAAGTGATTCCGCGTACACGCCGTTAAATGTCCGAGCGAAACGAAGCAAAATGTGTAGATCTACATCAAGGGAACGATATTTTTTTCCCCTAGGATGGTAGGGGAAGACTCATTATTATATACAGTAATAACGTGAAGTCAACAGCGTTCATAAACGCGCTTAAAAGCGATTATGCGTGTTGATAGCACGGCAAAAATAAAAAATGCGAATTGGCATGTCATCCACACGCAATTTCATGACATCAGTCTGTAGAGCAACCGAGGCGGGCGGGAAGTGAAGCAGGTGGATCTTTTTTTTCCAGAAATGTTCTCATAAGATGATTGGGAATGAATTTCCCATGTCTAACTGCAGATGTTCTTCCATTAACCCAAACTGTGCAAAGGTGGACTGCGATCATTTTGTAATGAATTCTTGTCTGCACAGATCACATTATTCAGTCATCAATCAGTAGGGGAGTTTAGACAACTGTGGCCATATGGAGGAGACTGAAGGGACAGTCAGAGGTGTGTAATACATAGCAATCAATGGTTGAGATGAGTAATCTGGTAGACTTGTGAGAACCGGTGACAGGGCGATCTGTGGTTAAATCACTGCATTCCTCTGTGCTTTCCCATCATAAACTCAACACCCGCCGTAGATCCCCGTCTACCCCCTGCAGGCATGGTGTCCTATCACATTCATATAATTAAATATATACAAGTGGAGATGGAAAAGTGGGTCTTACTGTGGTGTGCAATAACGATAACTCGGAAAAATGTCTGTGTGGGTGATCAAAATGTTTTTGAAAGGAGTCTCTTATGCTCACCAATGCATATTACATATGGACAATTTGACACTAAAGACTGGACTAAAGTTTGCTGGAAAATTAAGCCATCACCGGATTAAATAACCTACATTCAAGAATGCATTAGGCAAGAATAAAAAGCTTTTGAAAGAAAGTGGCCTGTTCTTTCCATATATTGCACGTTCAGATATTCATACAACAAAATAGTCTGAGACATGAATTTTTTGTTTAAATAAAATTATCAAAAAATGCTGCCGTTAACTGGCAACTTTTCTTTTTAAACGCTGACGGGAAACTTATTTTAAATTATAACATTTCACAATATTACTATTTTCAATATATTTTTCTTTAAACAAATGCAGCTTTGGCGAACATAAGCGACTTATTTAAACATTTATTTACAAAGTATATATATATATATATAAATATTATTCCAAACTTTTGACGGGTAGTGTTTTCAGCTGAAGGGATCGATACTGAATCCAACAAACATGAACAGTATTATTTTTTTTTATTAGCATTAATGCCTCAAAATGTTAGACTTTTTTTGAGTTGGAGGTTAGATTATTATATATATATATATATATATATATATATAATTCCTATATATATATATATATTATTATTATCCTTTTGACTTGTTGTGTAGCTGAGTTTTTCAGCTGAAGGGATAGATACTGAATCCAACAAACATATATGAACAGTATATTTTTTTTAGCATGATTTTTTAGCATTTTTTTTCATAATGCCTCAAAATGTACTTTTTGAGTTTGAGGTTAATATATATATATATATATATATATATATATATATATTATGACAAACTTTTGACTGGTAGCGTAGCCGAGTTTTCAGCTGAAGAGATAGATACTGAATCCAACATATGAACAGTTTTTTTAAGCATAATGCCTTTTTGAGTTTCAGGTTGGATATGATTTGACTTGTTGACAGATTCACCCAAAAATACTGATAATAGTGAAATTACTAAGAGAGAGAGAGAAAACTAGTTGTCATGTGTCTCAGCGATCGGACAATCGTATCAGCAGAGCTTCACGAGACTTTGAGGCACGACAGCGGTCGAGAAAAGCTTCAAACATGCGTGTTGTTTCACACTGACCTCTGTCCAACTCAACATCTACACACGTACTCATCATGCCTTACACAACAGCAAACACAAATGACTCAAACAGGGAATTAAAGTCATGTCATCATCATTAAATATTGTCAGGGTCAATTTCTTATTTATTTAGGATGTGCACACCATACAAAGTTACAACCTTTGGACTCAGCATTGAAGAGTATGACGGCACCCCCTGCTGTCATATTTAGTTATTTAGTATTTCAACTGCATTATAAGAGCATCAATGCCACAAACTGATCTAAAAATACTCTCAACAGGGAGCAGGCGACAGCTTCATTGGTGCTCTGGCTTTCTACACAGCCCAATATCCCACAATGCCGCTGGAAGAGATGGCCAGGAGAGCCAACCTCGTGGCAGCAGTGTCTGTTCAGACGGTCGGCACTCAAACATCTTTTCCATTTCAGAAGGATCTGCCGACTGAACTATTCTGAAGGTGACACACCAAAGACAACATCACTGCCATTAATCTGTGCACAGTGTCCACAGAATTACTGTGTGTGTAATAAACAATACCAAGTACTGGAGAGTTCTGCATGATGTCATTTCCTAGCAATCATTCATTTGTTAATGATTGTCATATCACAATTCTGACTTGCGAGTTTATTTCATTTTGAGAATTTTGAGATTTAAAAGTTGGGTAACACATTACTTGAAGGGGTCCTTTATAACCATGACATGACATATGTCTTGAATATGAAGTAGGGTTTATGCATGTTTATGACAACTGTCATTTAGTGTCTTTCGCTCAATAATGACATTTTGAATGCAAATATGACATTGTTTGAGATGTCTTTGTCATGACACCTTCACATAAATCAATACATCATAACCTGTCAGTGTCTTTGTCGTGACAACTTGACATTGCTTTGACATTGGCTGTCATGAGGCCATTATAACTGTCATGAATATTGTTCGTGACCTCATCTACTTGTTTCCGCCACTTAATAAAAAAGAAAAAAATTGCGACTTTTTATCTCACAATTGCATGTTATAAAGTCAGAATTGCATGATATTAAGTTGCAATTCTGAGGGAAAAAAAGACAGACGTGCGACTTTTTATCTCACAATTCTGACTTTTTTTCTCACAATTGCGAGTTTACATCTTGCAAATCTGACTTTATAACACATAATTGTGAGTTTATATGTCGAAATTCTGACATCTTTTCTCAGAATTGGGAGACATAAAGCTCACAATTGCGAGTTATCAGGCTAATTCTAAGGAAAAAAAAGACTAACTTTTAACCCCTCAGAATAGGGGGAATTAAATCTCACATTTCTGACTTTATAACACGCAATTGCGACTTTATATCTCACAATTATGACTTTACATCTCACAATTCTGAGAAATCAAGTCAGAATTGCGAGATGTAAACTCGCAATTGTGAGAAAAAAAAAGTCAGAATTGTGAGATAAAAAGTCGCAATTACCTTTTTTATTTTTCATTCTGTGGCGGAAACAAGCTTCCATAGGTACTAATTGAATTTGTCATTAAAAAAATTTAATGGCTTCATGACAGCCAATGTCAAAACCAACCACCTGACAGTTTAATGTAATGTTAACCATTAAAGCTAGGTGGTTTTTAATCTGCTATGTCATGTTTATGACGGGTTGTGTTGTCTTAGTAATGTCAAGTTGTCATGACAAAGACACAGTTTATGTCAAGGTGTCATAAAGACATCTCAAACAATGTCATATTTGCATTAAAAATGTCATAACTGAGCGAATGACATGCATGGTTATGAAGGCGTCATGTTAGTCCTATGCATACCCCTTCAAGTAAAGGGTTGCCAGAGAGGGATATATTGTTCAGTTTTGTTGAGAGCAAGAGTAAGTTCACCTCAAAAGGTTCAGGATTTGAAGTAATTGTCTGTTTGTTGTAATCGAGAGTAAACAGTTCTCAGAAAGCATCGAGGAAGATAACAACAGTTGTCATGGTGAAAATGTCTGTATACGTAAGAGAGCACAAGCAGCACAGGAGTTTCGTATGTTTGAATTGCTGTTATTTTTGTGGTAACAATTATGTACACAGATCTCGTTTCTACAAAATACATCTTGCTGGCTAATTATTCCAGCAAATTCAGCCTAAAGCAATCTGTCATTGAGTAGGTGGTTCATTGTTTGCAGTGGGTCAACATTGTGCCTTGGTAGAAAGGAGGAAACAAAATAACTGAACGAATCCAACATAATAGACTTCTTGTAATGGTCTTAACAAGACATTATCCAGCCAGGATGTGCAAATAAAATGGTCTCATTACACCAGTTATCCGCAGCTGCGGTGATGCCGGCGCTTGGATTTGATGGATATCTTCAGATCACCACACTGTGGCCAATAACACACTAAAAGTCCTTTTTCTCAATGTCTGTATCACAAGTTTCTGCCATTTTTTAAAGAGAGCGAATCTTCCTCTTCTCAAAGAACAGAACATGTTTGTTGACTGTGGAGAGCAATGAAGAGAAAAGAAAAAATCATTAACTGAAATGTGTAACGAGCGCTGGAAGACAGATATCATGCAATCACATTATGGGATCACAATTATTCTCTAGATAATCCTAGGCGATGGCAGACAAGTGTAGGGAAAAAATATTGTTAACATTTAGTTAATACATTAGAACTAACATGAACTAACAATGAAGATATACAGGTGAAACTGCTAGTGTTGTGGAGCGGGTGTGTTACGGATACGTGTTGTAAATTTTTTAGCAATCAAAAAGCATGTCTAATTAATTGAAATAATGTATTATGAATCATTAAACTTATACAACATTTAAAAAAAATGTATATGAGCAAAAAAAAAAAATCATACTAATTCTGTGTTGTGTTTTTTTCTGGTAATAAAAGGAAGACATAAAACACAAATTTTATCATTTATCATCAATTTTAATCATATGAATTTAAATAAACTCTCAAATAACTTTGTGCTGCATAATGTTCAAATTAAAACATGAATTATTCCTTAAATTCAGATTTAATGATAATTTATTTGGATTAGTGTTAGTATTATTACATTGGGACATATCTAAATTCTACTGCGCTTTATTAAAGGGACACTTCACCTCTGGAAAGATGAATGTGTATTTAAAATGGGTCATTTATGTAGAAGAAATGTGAAATTATTTTTGAATTTGGAGTTTTCTAGACTGAGAAAAGCCAGAAAATTTATTTTGAATGTATCTTTTCAATTTGAATATTGAAAATGTATCTTTTTCATAAGATCGACCAATAGCAAACCACAACCATCCAATCAATTCCCCACAGACAAAATTAAGTCTCGTCCTACATTTGTTGTGGTTCGAGAAGCTTTCACTCTGATATACGTCAAAATAGGGGGAAAAAAAATACGATCGCAACTTCTGTTTCATGCAACGTTAAATAGAGACGCACCAGCAACCGGACATTTTTGTTTGCCCCGGACCGCATTGTAATCATTTCCCATAATATAATTTGTGTGGAAATATTTCTACTTCTGTAAACCACCGGATGATAACACAGTCCAGAGGCGGGATACACTGAATACACACACAAAGAGAAGAGCAAATACTGTAACTGTACCAGACACAGCAAGCTCGCGGTTCACGATGCTCATGTACTGTATGTAAATGCACTTCAGCAGCCAATGAGATTGCTTGCTCAACATTTAAATAGTTCGGTGTAGTCTAGTCCTCCAGCGGGACATCAGAGTTCCTCTGAAAGCCTCCATCTGTCTAGATCTGCTTCTTATGTTGTGTCCTCTATTTATGCAGCATATCTTACATGCTCACAGCAGTGTGTCTATTAGCAGTAACAAGTCGTAGCCTAGCAGATCTAGTCCATCAAGACCAAATAAATCAACATTGCCATTTTCATTAATATGCTAAAACTATTCCAAGAGTTTTACTGAACTAAGATAATCCTGTAAATGTATTGTTCAATTTAGTTTAGCTAATGTTAAAGCACAACACAATAGATCATTTTGAGCCACTTAGTTTGTGTTCCTCAAATGAAAACAGGATCTATATGAAGTCAAATTGATGGTTCGCCTCACCTATGGGGTCATGCTTTCGCAAAACCAGTTTTTCCCTCAGTCGACCCCTCTTTGTGTTAAAACAGTAACCCGTGCCAGCCGCACTCATCATCTGCACCAGCAGCGTCCTGAAACACACGGTTCAAGGTCAAAGGAAGAACTCAGCACTGACTTCTGTGTGTCTGACATAAAAGAAGACTTTAAACCAAGCAACATCTCAAAACTCTTTTTAAATCAAGAATTTAACCAGACTAAATTCACAAATATATTTGTAAAACGTTCAACAACAGAACATATAACACTACTTGACATTGAAATGCATTACACTGTATAATCTCCGTTTAAAGTCTGATAAATATATGATGCGTTTACCTCAAATTTAAGGAGATAGGAGGACATAAAATAGTTTTTTTTTTCTCATATATTACAGTAAGAGTAAAGCAAAAGAGCTCACACAAGTTCAGTATGTAATGAGGACAAGGAATACTCACTTCGATTTGCTCTTGGCAACTAACGTTAGATAGAGAAAGAAAGAAAAAGAAACAACACGTAATTAGCATTAGCAACTAACAATTTGATCAAATGTTACACATCATATGATATGAGTGTGCGTGCTTTATAAACAGATAATCACTAAATAACATCTAAAAACAAATGTTGCTGGCATATATTTGAACTGGGACACAAAAGCTCATATACATGTAGGTGAAACTCCAGGCTAGTTAGCTATTAGCCGCTACACGACGTCTGTTCTGCAGTCTACAGCCACTATTATGCAGACAGTGTGGTATTGTAGATATTCTACGAGAATAGATGTACTCACGGTTCACAGAAGTGAGAAACATTATTATTCTTCTAGAAATAACCGCTTCGAAATGTCACATTGAGCTCCTGTCACTTAAAGTTACCGGCTCAATCTCCAGTGCTTCCGGTGTCATGTGCGGTTCTACGTCATCGTCGGAATGGATCCTTTTTATCATTATTTTTATTTTATTATTGTATTATGTTATGACAATCATGGACATTGACTTTTTTATTCTTCAAAAATGTAATAAAATTGTGTAATATTTGTTGTTTGTCCGTCTGTTTGTTTGTTTTAAAGAATAGGACACATTGAAGATGGACTAATGGATGGATGGATGGATGGACTGCTCAATCTCCAGTGCTTCCGGTGCCATGTGCGGTTCTACGTCATCGTCGGAATGGATCCTTTTTATCATTATTTTTATTTTATTATTGTATTATGTTATGACAATCATGGACATTGACTTTTTTATTCTTCAAAAATGCAATAAAATTGTGTAATATTTGTTGTTTGTCCGTCTGTCTGTTTGTTTGTTTTAAAGAATAGGACACATTGAAGATAGATAGATGGATGGATGGACGGACGGACGGACGGACGGACAGACAGACAGACAGACAGACAGATAGACAGACAGATAGATAGATAGATAGATAGATAGATAGATAGATAGATAGATAGATAGATAGATAGATAGCACATACTGAAGATTGATCAATGTGGGTGACAGATTCTCTAGAAATAGAGATGACTGAAGAGGGGGAAACGATACTGCCAAGAGGAAGACCGTCACAGGGTTCAGGAAATTAATTGTTGGATGGGCCGCACTGTTTCCAGCTGGCAGGATGTGTGTGAAACTGCCTGCGTCACGAGTTCAGGCTGCTCAATTAGCTCACATCTTCCCAGATCCACCCTGCTTACGGACACTGACACAACACGCATGTCATCACTATACTGCAATAGACACATGTGCAAGAGAGAAGATTGATCTGCGTATCAAATATCCCACAATTACGAAATAGACCGAGAGAACCTGAATTTAAAAATTAGTGCATTTTTTTTTGTAGTCCCCCTGTAGTCAATAATTGTAATCCCCCTTTAAAACTCATCTTTTGATCACCAAAATGACTCTCCTGCTGTCTGTGACGTCAGAAACACCATCGATCTCTGAGACAGTCTTTAGATCTGCAGTTTTAAGGGGAAAATACTCAGCAATGGTGTTGAATTTGAATTTGCACATGGTTTGTCTTAAAGCAGCACATTAAAAACACCACATATACACAATATTAATAGATTGATTTCCACCACAGGAGGACTTTAATCCTATTATGGATTTGATAGGCAAATTATAAGGCTACAAATGGTCAACATGATCAAAAACCTGCAATACATAGTCTACGACATGCCTTCTGTTGTTTGATTGACAACGTATCGTTCTTTAACAAGTAAAAGGCCTTTTAATTGTAATAATGTCCCCCTTCGGGCCATATATGGATGTGTCTTTTTGCTGTGAAATCTGGAATGTTTTTCAAAAAGTAAATATAAGTTTCATTGTGCAGTAAGGAGATCTTTTGCAGCAGTTTTAATGAATGTAGAAAATTCAAACAGTTAAAATGCACATGTAATCATCATTGTATTATATGTTTTGCCTCCCACATCGGTTAAACCAGATCTTGGAAGTTGATCAGGAACATGTTGTACTTGGTGAAAACGAGCTCCATATTCTCTTATATCATATGAGCCATAAAAGCCTGATGGATAAAATATGACACTCAACAAACAAAAACACAAACGTTTCAGGGGATTTAAAATATGTCTCATTAAATAAAGACGATTTTTCTGACAATAATTTTGTATATTATTATCTCCATAAATCTCTCTCTCTCTATGGGTCAAAGACTCTTAGCTGCAGGTGCTCACACACTCTCAAATCACATTCTGTCCCTGCTAGATTGACTGAGTGGGCTGTGATGTCATACGGATGTGCATCAGGTTGCCATGGTGACAGCAATTCAGGGAACCAGATGATGTTGTTCCCTCTCATTGAGTCTTCCATATGGAACAGGTTTCTTAGAGAATTAGAACAAAAACATTTCAGGAAGTCATTTTTTAGAATATCCTGCAAAGAAAAATATCAACAGATTGCATCGCAGAAAGCACTGCCTTCAGCCCATGACTGGTTAGCACTGATACGAATGAATCCCAGGATACAGGTTAGAAAAAATAACTAAACTGAAATGAGTTCTTTAGACCTTGGACAGACCTAAGATTAAAGTAGGGAATATGTTTAATACACACTATTTATACTGGTTGAATTCACAATGATAACAATAAATAAAAGAAGACTCTAAATATTAAAACATGTACATATCTTCTGTGGAAGTCTCAGGACCAGAAAAAGGTTCGTCCAATCATCGCATTCGGTCTGAATGCACTGATTTGATATCCTGTCAACATGTATTTCCATACCAAAAAAAAAAAAAAAAAAAAAACACACACACCTGCTCGCGCATGTATCACACGTCATCAGTGTTTTCCGTAAGACTGTGCAGACTGCAGAGTTCAGTGCTGTGCCTGACGATAGTTCATGAACGCGTTCATATTTTGGGTGAACGTCAACTGAACGTACTGTATTACTATGGAAAAAAAAAAAAAGAAAAGAAAATGGAAAGCCAAAAGGGTAAAATTTCGCCACTATCCAAATATATTACTGCCTGATGAACGTAACTGTGAACGCGTTCATTCTGGTGTCTGTGTGAACGCACGCGCTCTCTGAACTTCGTACAATAGGTTGCCAGATGTTTATAAAGCCTTCCAGGCGAAAACCCGGCTAAAACACACGAAAACCTTGTAGCGGGAAAAAAAACCACCCAATCTGGCAACACCAGCCAGCAGCGTCGCACCGCCGTATGCAATCAAAACAAAAAGCAGCACGAGGTCGACAAAGCCTCGAGGAGGCGTACGTATACATTTACACGAGTTTTATGACAAGGTCGGTGAGGATGGGCAAAATCTAACATTTCTGTGCAAACTTTGCCCGCCGATAAAATGTTGTCTGTGGTTGTATATGGGCTTTGGCAATGATTAAAAAAAATAGCTCATATCTAGCCTACATATGGGAAAAAAATGAGTCCTCAGTTCTCATCTCTTCAGATTTATGCATTTCTATGTCAACACTATCAACGCTGAAATGAATCTGTATCAGTTAGGTGGTGCAACTAGTGCACTTTAAGTTGTTTACGTTCATTAATATTGTAAAGTTATGTGCTTTGAGACATGAGGTGTGCCTTGTGTCTTTTTGCAGACTCTGCTTCGAGTGGTCATGTGATTTGGAGGAGGCGTGGCTTTGTAGACTCTGAAGGGAGGGTGGGATCTCATGCTTTCAAAGCTAGCCTCTCTGAAATTGCCTACCCTAAATTTAATTGTATTAAGTTACAATTAAATTATACTCAATAAGAAATACCCACAAAATAGATAGGCTAAATAAATGTTCTTGCATTACTCATCTGCAGACAGCTCTCACATTACCGCTCACTAATGCATTAGCACAAGTGTGCCAAACGCCTCACTCTCAATCTGTGGATTTACTTCTCATCAATGGATCCCTCTCCCATCTGTCTTCCACTTTCGGAAGCCTCTCTCCTTTCCGTGACGCAAGCGAGAGTGGGATGGACTGCCTCCTGTTCCCACTGAGGCCGCTGACATCTGCCACGAGGAGAAAGAGGAGGAAGAGAGAAAAGATGAATGAATGAAAGAAACAGGGAGGGCAAAACAAGATCAGGACACTTACTGCTGGAAACGGAGATTCTTCTCGGTGGAAACCAGAAAATGCTGGTAATAAACTCAAGTCGAGTCAGATTCTAATCAATGCATATCCTTTGTTCTTTTCATTATTTTCTGATGGAGAAAAAAAAACTCAATATTGCCTATATAGTATGTTTACAAGTAAACTAAATGTTTTAAGAAGAACAAAATTGTCGTCTATGACAAAAATAGAAAAATATTTAAAAATAGAATCCATTTGCTAAATCCTGTTCTGAGGTAATTTTCGAATCGACACCTTCGGTCTCCACTCCATCCATCACCTAGCAACTGATACCAAGGTTACGCAGGAAGCAGCACCCCAAACACACGCGAGCGTTTATTAACCCGGCCGTGGATTAGTCACTGGAACGCTTCTGATTGTATTGCTTCCGCTCTCCAGGTCTGACTTTGTGAAAGCATCACTTCCCACAGAGAATGATTTGAAGATGTTCGATTCATATACATCCAGTGCACTGAGAGTTCAATTCTCTTCATTTCATACTTCATTAAGACTGATGGTACAAAACAATAGAGTGCCACCGTCGGGTTCCAGAAGTAAAAATCCATTCAATTTCTCCGTAGGGAAGTTGATTTTTATACTTATAATCCTTTAAAGACAGCCTTACTGTGAGGTACAAGGTTTTAATAGATAGTATTTACTTCAGTTAAAAGATGTCAGCCCGCGCTCTCAGATCACTTGGGCGTGGCTGTGGTTACAAGAGGTAAAAACGATATAAAAACTGTTCGTTTTCTCACACAAACCGCTCGTTTCGTGTCTTAGGCCATCAATGTGTACTTACATTTACGAGTCATTAAATCATGTTTAATTTGGACTTCTCTGTGCATGCTCTTTGAGGTGGTGACCATAGACCTCCATTATATGACTGACAGACAAGAACGGTTTGACCTAAAAATATCAAAATTGAAACTACTGTGGAAACAAAGACACCTACATCTTGGATGCCCTTGAGGTAAGATAAAACATACCAAACATTAATTTCAAGGTGAACTATCCTTTTAAGACTGAACTATCCCTTTAAGACCCTAACCTTCATTGTAAGCCCAAACTTGACATAAGCTATAAACTTGTCCCTAAAATCTGATTGGTTGATTGAAATGTAGTTCCAACATTATGTACACCAATCTACTTGATAAACAATCTATTCTTGACATTGGTTAAATAACAGATTGCATTATATTCAACAGATATACAAAATAGGTTTTTTTTGTTGGATATGAATCATTTTAGCAGAAGGTCAATTTAATGCCATATCTCCATTTTTAAGAGTTTCCAAAACAGGACTCTACGTGATATGCACTTAGACACCAATCTTGCACTTCATTTTTAACCACCAAAGCTGACGTTGCTTTATTTTTATCCTTCGAACAAGCAGATATGCACACCCACACGTTCTCCATGAGGATATGGTCATTTCCCCTCACCAGCAATGTCATAACAAAAGTCATGGACCTACTTATATCACAACAGCATGTGCAAGTCATGATTTGTGCTATAAATATCAATGACGTTTGATTTTTGGTGTTAAAATGGAAAAAGTGACCCAGTCTTTGAATCACATGCCATTAGGTCAAAATTCATGTGATTTATTTTTATTTTATTCGCACATCATCAAGAACAACAACCCACAATATATCTTTTTTTTTTAAATGACTCATCTCTGCTTTATATTCAGTGTTGTTTTGAAAAGAAACACAGATTGGAGGTCTTGTTTGATACCTTTGTTCTCCACAGATCTAGCAGAGCGAGTTTTATGTAACTCTGTTCTTTTTTAGAGTGCTTGGGGAAGAAAATAGCCATCTGGCGTTCTAAAAGCGGACTCTGGGACGCACGGCGCCCACGCTTTCCGCCAGTGGGTCAGTGGGTGAGAGTCTCCAGGGAGGGACTGGTTGAACTGGTCCAGAGAGCGGTGGGTGGTGTGGGCCGAGCGCACCTGGAACACACGGGTGTGAAGGTCACAACGCTCCACATGTCATCAGTTTGTTTTTAGTTCTGTTTGGCATAGAGGGAGCCCGAAGAAAGAAAAAAAAAGCAGTGACGTGGATGCAACAGATTTGTTTGGTGCTGTTGCCATTTATCGGGCATGCATGATGACTAATAAGCAGGCTAAAAGTGAAATGTTCTTGTCACATGTTGGATTTATTTATTTGTTCTCCTTCAATACACGAACATCCAGTATGTGTGCACGTTTGTTCATTCATAACTCATATGTACTTAAAATGTTAGTAATGTGAAGTACATGCTATACCAGAACCTTTTGTTGCCACTTAATATGCAGCAATATTATTGATTTGACTGCACTGACACTATTGGATAAGAACTGGTGACATCACTGTTTTCTGCAGAACTGCTTCATAACTCAATTGAACTCATTTCATAATTGGTGAACTTTAGACATTGAACTGAAAGGAGTAGTTCACTTTAAAAAAAAAACTTTTGCTGATAATTTACTCACCCCCATGTCATACAAGATGTCCACGTCTTTCTTTCTTCAGTCGAAAAGAAATTTTGTTGATGAAAACATTCCAGGAATTTCTCAATAATGGACTTCATTGGGAACCAAACGGTTCAAGGGACAAATGAGAGTTTCAGTGCAGCTTCAGAGGGCTTTAAACGACACCAGACGATGAATAAGGATATCATATCTTATCAAGGACCCTTTGAGTCATGAATTAAAAAAAAGATTTGTTCATTTTGATGAACGAGTTTGAACAGTAGAGTCACGAACGCACATCACAGAACAGAGCAAGGCGAGCATTTGTGCTTATAAAACTAAAAACTTTGTTATTTATTTTTGAAATGGCCGTTTCGCTTTATAAGACCCCTATTCATCGTCTGGTGTCGTTTAAAGCCCTTTGAAGCTGCAGTGAAACTGTCTTTTGGACCTTGAACCGTTTGGTTCCCATTGAAGTCCATTATATGGAGAAAATCTTGGAATGTTTTCAACAAAAACCTTAATTTCTTCTTGACTGAAGAAAGAAAGATGTGGACATCTTGGATGACATGGGGGTTTACCGTCTCTCCTCATATGCTCACATAGGCTTGTTGTTTTTTTTTTTATGTTTTATGGGGACTTTCCATATAGACATACTGATTTTTATACTGCACAAACTGTATATTCTCTCTCCTACACTAAACCTATACCCACCATCACAGAAAACTTCTGCATTTTTACATTTTCAAAAAACATTAGAGACTACACAATGACAACATTTTCACATTTTACTATATTTGTGGGGACATTTTGTTCCTCACCATGTAGGTTAAACAAACACACACACACACACACACACACACTTCCTCTTGCTTGAGCTCTTCATCAGTGGTCGGTCATACATCGCCTCCTATTGAGCAACTGCGGAATTCAGATCATCTTACTGTAATTAAATTCTCTCCTTAATGACATTTTAATGACATTGAAAGTGTGTTTACTTTTGCTTACTGTTGGAGAAACACCATGCTACTGTAAATAGAAAGAGTGCAGTTGGTGCCAGGTGTCCTGTTCTCACTGGACAGATCCTTGTCAAATCTTCCATCATTCTCCTATACCTCTGAACATGTTTCTAATATTAGTAGCCTATATGGGACAAATTCCAATTTCCAAATTCCCAAGCCTGAACAAGTCAAAAATATAAAACATAGCATGGCTATCCTAACTCAAATCATGCCTTTCAATACACATCTGCTGTCAAACAGAGATAATTCATTGGCCTCAATCAGCTTCGTCTGTTCTCTATTAAGCTTTAGGATTCATGAGACTTACATGACAAGCCACGGGGAATACATTCATTTTTAAAAGGACAGTGACCTCTAGTGGACATATTGTGTTAGAATAGTGTTAAGACATTATGTTCTTATTAATCATTTTTATTTCCTCCTTTCCCCTCCCCCCATTTGTGTCAGCATTTATTTATTTAGTCACGTGATGTTATAAGGCTTCAATTCTTATTATGTGTCAGTTCCATAGAGAAGAGGGAAATGTATGGACAAAAGTAGAAAATAGGCAGAAATATGCTAAAAAGCAGTCCGTTTAATTGTCTATTTTAGTTACAAAGCTTTTTGGGGAAATAAATACACACATATATATACCTAGCCTATATATCGGCCTATACATATATAAACATGAATGAAAAAGTCTGGTATCACTTTATAATAACTGCACGCTATGAATCATTAGTTAAGCATGAGTAAACAGTAAAGTCATAATTTATAAAGCATTAATAAGCAGTTTATAAATACAGCCATAAATGCTTTCTTCTTGATATCTATAATAATCCTTTGTTAATGATCAATTAATTATTTCTAAATGAAGTATAGCATTATTTACAATTCAGTTATTTAAGAGTTGTCAGTCATTCATAAGATCACTTAGAAAATGTAAGTAAATGTAGTAAATCGGTATTCATACTATTCATGCCTTGTAAAGCATTTATAAAGGAGATTTAAAGGTGCATCAATCTAAACAGTGAAATGTAACAGAACATAGAAATATAACAATCCTCACTTTAGATGAGCTCACAAACATAGTTAACTGACCACTACTAAATGCTTTATAACAACCCGAATTAACCCCGAATTACAGCATAATAAAGCACTTATTAACACGCCAAGTAACCATCACTATATGTCTGAATAATATGTATGAATGTACATTTAAATAGTTTTATTAATCATTCACTTACATGTTGTAGGGGATCTTATGAACCACTGACAACTCTTAAATAACTGGCTTATAAAAAATGCAATTCTTTATTTAGAAGTGATAAATTAAAGGATGAAAACACAATTATTAAACAAATGATAGATATGCTTTTAAATCACGAAAAACGCATTTATATCTGTATTTATAACCTGCTTATTAATGCTTTATGAATGATGAATTAACAATTTACTCATGCTTAACTAATGATTATTAGCGTGTAGTTATTATAAAGCGTAACCAAAAGTCCTTGCGGGGACATTTTTTGGTCCCCATGAGGAAAACAGTTTATAAATCATACTAAGTGGTGTTTTATGTACTTGTAAAAATGCAGTTGTGTGTGATGATTAGGGTTAAGGGTTAGGGGTTAGTGTCGGGAGAGTCCCAATACAACATGAAATCCCAACGTGTGCGCGTGTGTGTGTCTACGGCATCCTATTCTTGATGGATAGATAGATGGATAGGTAGATAGATAGGTAGACAGACAGATTTGAGACTTGTTGAGACTAAAGAAACGTATTTACTTGACCCAGGCCTTGAATCCCCTTCCTATCCCTTTAAGATGTTACTGTCCCGCCTCCTTTTAGAACGCAATGACATCATCGGTTTAAGCAACCAATGAGAGAGCGCGACGAGCATGAGCTAGCGCGAGTTGCATTTGTAGTGCTCATACGTGTGTGTGTATGTGTATGAGTGAGTGTGAGTGTGTGTGTGCGTGTATGAGTGCGATTGAAATTCTGTAGAGACTTTGTTTTTTAAATTACACACACACTAGCTTCATCGTCCATCAGCCGTTTGGAGTAAGATTAACATTGTTTTTACCCATCTGGATTTTTAAAACGACGTGTGTCACTATCGCTGATCAATTCTACACCATACAGGACTTAAATAGTTCGATTTAAAGAATTTACCTTCATCCGAGTGATGGATGTCTAGACCAAGTTATGAGACTTCATTTTAAAAGCAGACCGGGTCCCTCCTGCCGGAGATCTGCTGTTGTCCTGCCTCTGGGAACTCATGATCGTTGTTTATTTGTGTTTCAGCATGAGTTTGAGATCTCTGAATACACGCATTGACTGTTCTTAGAAAGAGCTGATCGATCCAAGTATGAATCCGATAGGAATCTGTAATTTGAAGAAGTGATCTTAAAGCTGAGAACAATCAAAGAAGGGCAGAATGCTGAAGACCCTCACTAAAAAACTCAGAAGACACTCTCTAAACGAGATACACCCCTTTCAACTAAAGGTAAGTCAGTAAATAACTATATTAAATACAAATATATTTGTAAGTTGTCTTTAAACAATGATACAACGTACCCTTGTGGACCAAGATGCACGAAGCTATTAAGTTAGCCTACATTAATATGCCAACATAATAACAGACCACACCACTGTACATAATAAGCACTGAATAATAAACACTGTACAAGTGTTACAGTAAATAACTGCTGCTTTATTCCGGAAGCTTCCTATTGATGATGTTGATGCCCCAGTGTACTACACAATGTTTAAGCTCAATGTGGATTTGTTGCTAAGACTAGTTTTATAATTTACACACACGTTCAGACTCCTGTGCATATTTACTCAAGCTAAAACACACACAGACACACACACTTGAAACTGAAACTTTAAAAACAAAATGAAAAGATGCCCTCAGAGGCAATGAAAAAAAAAAAAACATTAATCGAAGAAATAAACCAAAGAAATTATAAGTTAAAAGTTTTAGTAGAAGAAATCATGATGGCATCTTAAAAAACAGTCTTAAAGTAACGCAACTCCTTTCTGGAATCATAAATACTTGATATACTGAACCCAATGCTGGCTCTCTGTTGATTCTGCATTGTTATAAAGTTATGAATTGCTCATAAATGCACCACACCAACTTTTCTCAAAATGCGTCTTGTTTGATGTTCCACAAAGATGAGTCCATTCCTCGTGGCATTTTTCACATATACATTATTAGGCCTGATTTACACCTGGTATTAAGATGCGTTCTGGTCGATCGGATCACAAGTAGACGAGGGAGACGCATTCCCGCCTCTCTTTTGTCCACTTTCAGCCACTTCTGTCCTGTTTTCTTCAAGGGTCAAGTAAATGTATGGGGTTTTTCAGATCTTTCAATCTAATGGATGAAATAAACACAGAGAGCAGCAGCTTTCATTTCTGCTCTGATAGTCACAAGACTACGGTGAACGCCGTTAAAAATCAGGAATGGTGAGGAAACATCGTGCTTGGTACGTTTTTTACACAGCCGACAAAGTTTAAATCCAGTCTGGCTAGTGTGCTTCCCTATCGGTCTTTTGTGGCTGATTGAACACATTCGACCACATTCGACAAGCGTTTTTGACTACCTCTGGAAGTGGTCGAAAGACGACACACTCAAAAATAGCGCCGTCCACTTGTAATCTCATTGACCAAAACGCATCTTAATACCAGGGGCCATAGTTGATTGATCTGACCAACTGCTTGTTCCAGTTTCATTATTTGTCACGAGGTGTGCCCTTCAGCCACATGTTTGAGCTCCTTCCTGGTGAGGAGTTGTTATCTCCTCAAAGGGAGGCAATAGCAGAATGGAAAGCTACTTTAAAACTGATGAGTAATGAATGAAATTGGAGAGGCCACTGTGACCAGCTTGTCTTGGTTATGAGGAAGAAAGAAGAATATATGTAGGCTATAAAGTAGTACACATAGCCTAGCATACACGCTCCTAACCTGTGTGACTTCATTTCTGAGTAAACGTTTACATGATTCTGGTCTCATTGTGCAAGTTTCCAAAGAAAAGCAACTTGCTGACTGTGCCTCGAAAGGATTTTATTTTTGGCTGATGTCCACCAGGCCACTTGGGATTGGTCTATTTGTTTTAAGGTGCTTAGGCTGTTTAGGCATAGTTATAGTTTACTTTAGTTGGTAAAATCGTTAACATGCTCATTTCATGCTTAGTAATGTTAATGCAATAAAGATTTGAAGAGTTCAGATACAAAAGCCTCTAAGTGCTATCTGAAATTTTCTTCTAAAATTATCATTTTTATCAAGCTTGTATGCTTATGTTCAGTTATTTCACTTTAATGGTAAATTACCTATTAATTGTCGTACTCACGTCGGTGACGACTCATTGCCAAAGACTGTTATTCCTGTACCAGTGGACACATGTCCTGATCTCAGCTTGACCCTATGGCTTACACTAATAAATACAATTACGGTGGTTGGAGTGCGGCCTTCTGCCAGAAACGTCTAGGTTGCTGACACAGAAGCTGTGTGTACATGTCTGTTTGAGTAGATTTAGTAGACCACTGGGAAGCTTTGGAAGAAGTTCCTCATGGGAATTTTTCTGCAGACACAAGCCAGAAGAAACATGACACATGATGCCCTTTCACACGATGAGCATCTTAAATGCACCTCTCCACACAATGCGGGGTTGTTTTAACCCAACTTTGGGTCAAATATGGACAAACCCAAACCCCACTGGGTTAAAAATGTAATCAAAAAAAAATGTAACCCAGTGACTGAGTTTGTCCATATTTGACCTAAAGTTGGGTTAAAATAACCCAGCATTTTTTAGGAGTGTATATTAATTTGCATACACTCTAAAAAATGCTGGGTTGGGTCAAATATGGACAAACCCAGCCATTGGGTTAATTTTTTAAATGACATTTTTAACCCAATGTTTGAGTTTGTCCATATTTGACCCAAAGTTGGGTTAAAACAACCCAGCATTTTTTAGAGTGTAGGATGTTCAATGTGTGCAATATGGCTGTGAAACGATTAATCGCGATTAATCGCATTCAAAATAAAAATTTGTGTTTACATAATGTATGTGTGTGTGTGTAGTGTGTATTATTTTGTATATATAAATACACACACTCTAAAAATGCTGGGTTGTTTTAATCCAACTTTGGGTCAAATATGGACAAACCAAAATGTTGGTTTAAAAAATTAATTAAAAAATGAAACCCAATGTTTGAGTTTGTCCATATTTGACCCAAAGTTGGGTTAAAACAACCCAGTATTTTTTAGAGTGTAGGAAATTCAATGTGTGTAATATGGCTGTGAAACGATTAATCGCGATTAATCGCATCCAAAATAAAAATTTGTGTTTACAAAAATGAAACCTAATGGCTAGGTTTGTCCAAATTTGACCCAAAGTTGGGTTAAAACAACCCAGCAATTTTTAGAGTGCACATATGCATGTATATATTTAAGAAAAATGTGCTAATATATCAAATATTTATATTTATGGATAATATTAATTTTGTATAAATCTATACAAAGTATATACATGCAAATATATACATGCATGTGTGTAATTAATTATACACACTACACAAACATATAACTTTTATTTTGGATGCGATCAATCGCGATTAATCGTTTCACAGCCCTAATAATAACTATACACTAAATGTCACATGTTGATATTGCAACTTTTGACCTACACACAACTTGATTGCCTTATTAGATGATGAGTACAGAAATACTAATATTTAAATGTATGTTTGGAGACATCAACAATGAACCCATGCTAACCCTGAAGATAGTATCTTTCATGCATGAACACACACACACTGCATGCTTGTTTGAGTCTTGAAACAATGTTTATTGTGCGTCTTTCCTGTGTTTGAGTTTAATAGTGTCGTTGCCTTTTACTTGATCCCTCTTTTGATGGGTTTGTTCTTGTGCAGTGGTGCAGAAATTGAAAAACGCAGCTGCAAGTGTGTGGTTGTTTTTTTCTTCTTTGTGTGATCTTAAATTAAACGCAGAGGACTTAGCCTAAACACTCCCATGGTTAGCAGACTGTGCTCCATGTTACAAACCTGCCTTTGCGAGTCTTTCAAGACTCTTTGTTTTATGTTTACACACGAGTGTCAGTTGTGCAGGTTTCATGTAAAATGTCATGAAACTTATGCAAGGGCAGTTGGCTGGATTCACACACTCACGTAAAGCCTACTGCCAAACCATGAACAGTTTGCGAAATGTTTGTGTTACTACAAGCCAGAAGGGAAAATACTGGAAATTCTAGCCCAATGTCATTTACATGTCATGTAGTTGGCCAAGCACTTAATCTAGCAGGCGCAGTCAGTCTACAGAAAGTTGGATACTCGTAATGGTTTTAGTCAGCATGAGAGAACAAAAAAAGTATTTGGCAATATAAAGAATAAGCCAAGAGGTTAGCTAAAGACAGAAATACAAATGTACTTTGGCTTGCCTATGAGCTCACTTTAGGTCTGCTAGTAAGCACGCATGTCATTGTAATTAGAAAAGCATCATTCGTTTAATCGTCTCATTGTTTCCTTCTGTTATTTTTCTAATTGCAACAACTTTATTTTTAACACTAGATCTGCTGTTTGGTAAATGTGAAACACGCAGGGTTGTGGCTGGTAGTGATTTGGCACTTTCGGCTGGACATTGTTAGCAAGTTGGTGTGCATTCAGCTGTGGTTAGTCATAAATATCATCAGTGAATGCTGAGATCTGTGAAACGTGTTAGAGCTGAAAGCACATTAAAATCTGCTGTTTGAGAAGGGTTATGTTTGAGAATATGTATGTGTTAAAGATGAATGAATGAAAATTCTGTCTCATGCTGTTAAAAAAGCTTTTCTTCTATTAAACATAGAAGATTATTTTGAGAAATGTCACAGTTTTTTTGTTTGTCCATATATTTTGAAGTCAGTGCTACCCAGAATTATTTCAAAATCTCTACTAAAGATGTGAGGGTGGGTAAATGATTCATTTTCATTTTTAGGTGGACTATCTCTTTAATAGCTTGTGAATCCATTGAGATCGAGCAGAAATGTTTCATATGGCATTGAACAATGGAGACATTTTTCTGCCTTTTCAGTTGCTGATTCTCTTTTATGTAATATTAATATTAATATACAAGATTACAAATAGTGGATTTCAAGGCTTAATACATTAAAAAAGGTCAAAGGTGCATAGACAGTAAACTATTCTTATACTTTGTTTTGAAACATCCGCATGCTTGCTTATATTTCCCACAACCCATATAGGTGAAAGTTCAAGAGATGTTTTTTTTTAAAGTTTTTTTTACAGGTCATGACGTTGTATTAATTTATGTATGAAGTTTTTTTTTATTATTTAAAAATAGGGCTGTGAAACGATTAATCACATCCAAAATACATAATATATGTATGCATATAAATGTGCTATTAATATATGAAATATTTATATTTATGTATAATGTTCATTTTGTATAAATATATATAAAGTATATGCATGCAAATATACACAC